GAGAGAGAGAGAGAGAGAGAAAAGGTGTGTTGAGTTGACTAATGAAAACATTGAAGCATTCATTCCATGAGTAAAGCTATTAAAATATAACTACAAATATAGTGCAGAGAAATTGAATGAAAAATATTATTAACATCTTTATTATTGAATCACAAAATTATAAATGATTTCAATATTCAATGTTATTATGGCTTTGATATAATATTATGATGGTCAATAATGTATTGATTATAACTAATAGATAATATAAATCAATAAGTTGGGGAAATATTAAATAAATGAACGATTCTATCATAATATTTGCTTAAATCATAATATAAACGAATAAGATGTATAGAGGTTTATCTCATCTACCAAACAAATTTATCATAATTAAATACTTTATTCGATTAACAATAAAAATAATAATTATAACAATTATCTAGGTAAAATGTCTAATATAAATGAATTTGTATTATTTAAATATTAATGCCTTATATAATGATGACATTTTTCCTTATAATTGTTGTTCGCTCACACCGTATGATAGTATTAACACATTATATTGTTTGTTGTATATTTCCATACAGTATATTGTTTTATAGCGGATAATAAATTAATATAATCACATATAAATCCCTTTCATTTAAAATTAATTTCTTATTCAAATATAGGGTATACTGTAGTGTATTTATATATGATTTAATATAATCATTAAATGCGAAATTATAATTAATTATTTCACGCATACTCTTCAGTCCAATTATGTTGTTTTTTAAAAGTAAACATTATTTAAATGTTGTCATGAAATGTCAATTTATATTAATTCAGACATTATTCATAATGTATTTGTCAGAAAACATTCATTTATGGTGTTTTTAAATGACAGATAAATATGTTTTTGATCGCAATTCTTTATGGTAAATTGTGGTTTATAATGCTTCTATTTGCATAACGATAATTTTAAATTACTCTCCTTGAATTATAGCTTTTTAGTGTTGGGATTTGTGCGTAACATTGTTTCTGTAACTATTATTATCAATTAATACGTAACTATGAGTAAAATAATTAACAAAAAGCTAACATTTCATAAGAATATATGTTTCAAAGCATTGTTTGCAAAACACTAGGAATTGAAGACAAAATCAATTTGTGTGTTGAAAATGAAATGAGAAAATAGAGTATCTTTTTAATTGTATTGTTTAAGAATTGAGATCTCCTTTACACTACAGTTATGAAAATAATTTTTGATTAAAACAGATAATTATGAATCTTGTTAATTAATTTTGTTAATTACAAATTTAATTCTAATTAAATAATAACAATTAATATTGTTTTTATATTTTACACATTGAGTAAAGCATTGTATTTGTTTTGGATAGAAATTATAATTCATGATATTGAAAATGTGCAACTAAATATTATAAACTAAAATATTAAACTAAATAAATAAAAATTTTAATAAACATATTTAGCTTCAACCCAAATGCATAGTTGATTATTATTACAAATAAATAATGGATTTGAGTTGGTTTTGGAAATATTTATGATTTTTGTAATTATAGGAAAATATCTTTATTTTATAATAAATTTTCTCTCATTAGAATTCCCAATACATTAGAGTTTGAGGAAATTTAAAAACAGAATTTTCACATTTATTACATTTCAATTTTTTAACAATAATTAACGTACCTAACAATATTGAACAAAATAAACAAATTGAATTTAATATAATAATTCAAAATTTGCATAAATATATAAAGTATTTAATTTGTGGTATAGAATATAGAGAACATGTTTAATTGTAATTTAAAATGAGATATATTAATAATTTTTAATATAATAGTTTAAATATTATTCTTGAGCAAATCTTAAACTAACTTGAAAAATAAAATATGCTATAATTAATTAATATTAAAAAAATAATTTGTATACAAAATCTTTATATATAATAAATTTATAATAATATTGCTAATAATTTTACCAACAATTATGACTTTTACATTATTTTAAGCTAGGATATATTTTAAACTTGACATATAATAGTTAAAGTTGTCATTTTGTTTCTAAATTTAAAAACAATTTAAAGAAATTAGAAAAACATTAAATGATAGACATTTATCTTAATAATAGAGCCGTTAAGTCGGTGTAGAGTATAATGAGTTGCTTTTATGGGAAATAAATTAATAAATATGTGTTATTCTGTGTTTTATTGTACAGACATTTACAGTGATTAGCAAAGGAAAAGACATATTTAGGTTCAGCGCAACGAATGCAATGTGGATATTGGATCCGTTTAATCCGATCCGTCGAGTGGCCATATATATGCTCGTTCATCCACTCTTCAGTTTTCTAGTTATCGTTACAATTCTTGTTAATTGCATTCTTATGACATTACCGCCCGAAGATTCCATCGAACGAACTGAGTAACAATGCAACCAATTTACCACATTTACCACATTCAACATGCAACTAACTCTTTGTCTCATTACCATCTCTTTGCAGAGTTATATTCACCACAATTTATACATTTGAGTCGTGTCTCAAAGTGGCCGCAAGAGGTTTCATATTAGAGCCGTTCACATATCTAAGGGACCCCTGGAATTGGCTCGACTTTGTTGTAATAGCCTTAGCCTACCTTACAATGGGTGTGAAAGAACTTGGTAATCTCAGCGCATTGAGGACTTTTCGAGTACTTCGAGCCTTAAAAACTGTTGCTATAATTCCTGGTCAGTATTCAACACATTTGTTGACTCTCTCTTATACAGTGTGCCTACGATTGATGAAAATGTGAACACATTTTTCAATTTGATGACTATTAGGAATGAAGACAATAGTGGGGGCAGTGATAGAGTCAGTAAAGAATTTGAAGGACGTAATAATACTGACCTGCTTTTCGTTATCCGTATTTGCCTTATTGGGACTACAAGTATATATGGGTGTATTGACACAAAAGTGTATTCTTATCGCTCCGGAAGGGCTGTCCGATATTCAGTGGTTTAATTGGTGTAGCAATAGTTCGCACTGGTATGTCAAAGGTGATGCCAAGGAGCCCTACCTGTGCGGAAATAGTTCACAGTAAGCATCCCTTTTCATATATCATTGTTTTCTACATGTCATTGAATTTTAGTTTTACATTTCATTTCATTCATATTTCAAAATTAGTCCAATTTTTACAAGTTTATCAAAAATTTGTCAATAATTGGACGTGTGCTCTAATTGAGACATAATTTTTTGTGGCATTAAATAGTTATTAGGATATCAATTGAGAACTCATTAAAAAATAAAGTTTATAATGATACTAATAATATTGTTTAATTTGGTGAATGAACAGACAATGTCCTCCAACGTACATGTGTTTGCAAGGGTATGGCGAGAACCCTGACCATGGTTATACCAATTTCGACACATTCGGGTGGGCATTGCTGTCGTCCTTCCGACTCATGACTCAAGACGCGTGGGAAACGTTGTACCAAATGATACTGCGAGTGACGGGACCATGGCACATCGGCTTCTTCATCGTGGTCATCTTTTTGGGTTCATTTTACTTATTGAATCTCATTTTGGCGATCGTCGCCATGTCTTACGACGAACTCCAGAAGAAGGCCGAAGAGGAAGAGGAGGCGGCGGCGGCCGAAGAGGCGGCCTATGCCGAGGCCTGTCGACAGGCAGAAGAGGACGCAGCCATGAGAGAGAGCGGAGTCGTCACCGCATCCATTAGGGAGAGCGGTGTTGTCAAGAGTCCATCCGATTATTCATGTCGTTCTTATGATATCTATGCCAGTGCTGGTGTCGGACATCACGACAGAGCACCTGATGATAGGGATCTCAAAGAGAGGTCTTCTATCAAGAGTGATGACGGAGACAATGGTCTGACAAACGAACAACGAAACCGATTGAACGGCAAAATGAGAAAAGTTAGTCTAAATTACATCAAAACTAATCGCTATAATTAGGAAATACTAATATTATTATTAATTTCTAACAAAACTCTTTACCAGAAATCTCAAGGAAGTTAAATATAGAAATCCGCCCAAAATATTGCTAAACTATTTAGTCGTATAAAAAACCAATAAATTAGTTATTAAATAATCCTTAAATTACATTACATTGTAATTCCTAAATAATCCTAAAATTAGTTGTTTTAGAGATATGTTATGAAACAAAATATTAATTAATATTATTTATTTACTAGAAATTCTTAAGACTCTGCAAAATATATTATATAATAGAAGTAGTGAACCGTAGATGTATTGATAATACAGATTAACATTAATTTACCTTAATTGTAATCGTAGACTAGTATCCATTGAATAGTGTGTCCTCTGTCTTGTTTAATACAAAATAGTTGTCTTTTCGTTGATATCAAACTCGACCCAAACCTCACATTTAGCTGTGGTTTTCAATAATAAGGCGGAACTCCCGGTTCGACATTGAATTTGTGACACAGGTATAACACCAAATATCACGGATCACTTTTGGATCCAATTATATATTACTTGTCAGCATTTGTTCCCCTCTTATCGATCATAGAAATAGTCGTTCGGTTAGAGAATAGTTTAGTAAATCCCTATGAAGTAGTCGTTTAAACGTTGAAAGTATCGGTTCTGTAGTTTAGTTGCGAAATGTTAATCGATATATAATCTCAAAGTAGATTTGTATCATTGTATTGATTGGTGTACTCTATCTTTCCCTTCTATTTAGATGTCAAACGTATGTAAACTTAGTTTTCTATCAATTTTTAAATGTCTTAATATATACCGGTATTGTATAAATGTGTCATAAATGTGTATTTAGTATCCATTGGTAATTATAAATGTGTAGTGTATTGTCTATTTGAGTACTTTTAACTCAAATTACTTTCCTTTCCTAATATTTCAAATCCTTTCCAAATATTAGGTATGAATTCATATATTAATAGTGAATACGTTTCTAAATATTCTAAATGTTAGAAAATGTATGAGAAAATGGTAGAGTAGAGTACTGTAGAGTCCATACAATAGTGTAGAATAATAGTTCTAGATAAATATGTATTGAATACTGGCTAGTAGTATAATGTACTGTACTGTAGATTACTGTACCGTATAATAGTGTAGATCGTCTTTAGGACATTAGAGGCATTGTAATGATAACTATAGCTCTGTGTCCAAAATGCGAGTGCACTGGACTTAATTGGATTTTGTGGGATGCGTTGTCTATGAGTGCATGTGTTAGCTCGGCATGTGTTGGCACCGATCACATAAATAGCTGTATTTCGGTTTTGTATCCTTCACAGGCAAGTCTGAGTCTTCCCGGTTCGCCCTTCAATTTGCGTCGGGGCAGTCGCGGCAGTCAGTTCAGTGTGCACTGGGCCCGAACCAATGGCCGACGCTTTGGTGACCGCAAACCACTAGTGCTGCAAACCTATTTGGACGCTCAGGAGCACCTGCCCTATGCCGACGATAGCACTGCCGTCACACCCATGTCCGAGGAAAACGGCGCTATTATTATTCCTGTGTATAATACAAATCTCAATTCAAGGCATTCCAGCTATACTTCGCATTCATCCAGAATATCATACACTTCTCACGGAGACATCTATGGCCGCGGAGGAGCTCTTTGGACCAAAGAGAGTCAACTTAGATCCCGACGCAATCTTCACCAGTATTACAATGAGGTCGTGAACACACGCCGGCAACTAATCAACCCTTTTTTTGACAAAAACCCAAACCAATCCTTCAAATATTTCATTCATTCAAACATTGATCACACTTTGCTTTTTAGTGCATGACTTTAGAGACAATCGTAGATATCATATATTCATTCGCATCTCTTTTTAAGTTTAATTAATCTCTTGTCTGTCAAAAATTGACGTAAAACTTTCGGTCATTACTTAAATGTGAATCACATTAGCGTTAATTCAGTGCTAAACCAAAGAATTTTGTTTGATTTACAGGATTTGTTAGATCAGGAGGAATACATGATTGCCGTCAAACATAAGCAAAATGAGAACCCATTCCTCGACCAACAGCCGTCTCCACGCCATGCGATGGTTGATATGAAAGGTTGTCATCACATGTCATACACACTAACCATATCAACGATTAATGACCAGTTTTTGTGTATCATTTTAGATGTAATGGTTCTCAACGACATCATAGAGCAGGCGGCGGGGCGTCAGAGCAAAGATAGTGATAGAGGTTTGTATTTATCATCACATTATTTGTCTTATTTCTAATGCACAACAAATAATACTGAAATCATATTCAGTATTAGTTGTTATTATTATTTTCTTTTAATATGTTTTTTAAATTTAATTAAATTGGATTTACTTTTAAAATCGATTACATTTATTTTTTAACTAATTTTATACCACAATAATATGAATAGAAATATAAAAACAAGTTTTTGTCACTTTTATTAGAATTTATTTCAAGAATAGCATGAATTAAGTTTGAAAGATATGTCCCTTAAAGCATACTTTCCCTGAAAGCATTCATTTGATGAATACGTGTGAATACATTAAAAATAATTAAAATCACAAAAACTTGTTTATTAGATGTCTATTATATTGTGATGTTATGAATGCATAGATTATATATAATAGAAGCAGATGTGAAGTGTGGTAAAGGGCTATAGAAATAAATTGAATATAAAATTTAAAACTTATTGAAGGTTATAAAGAGCGGACACATTAAACATTATACAGTTTCCATCTATTATTTTCCCTCAGATAAGGAAGAGAGCGAAAAACCTTTGTTTAAGGAAAGGTTTCTCAGCGGTTGTCTTAAGTGTATAGATATTCTGTGTGTTTGGGACTGTTGTTGGTGTTGGGTTCGAGTGCAGGAATTGGTGGCACTCATTGTATTCGACCCATTCATGGAGCTGTTCATCACACTATGCATTGTTGTGAATACGCTGTTCATGGCTATGGATCACCACAATATGGACAAAGACTTTGAGAGTGCTCTACAAAATGGCAATTATGTGAGCAGTCATTACATGAATTGAATATCAAAATTACTAATGCATTGCAATGCATATCATGTCTGCATTTTATTGCATATTTTGTTATTCTCTCCCCAAAAATCGTTGATTATAATACCTTAATAATTGATATAATAATAACTTAGTTATTTCAAAACTTATATATCATTTGCATAATTTATTTGATTTTTTCATTTATACTTCTCTTTAATTGAATATATTTTATCAAATTTAAAGTTATTTTTATTTGATTTTCTATATTTTAAGTCATTACCTATTTATTAATTATTTATGACAACTCTCTGTCAGAATTGAATACAACAAAAAGCACGGCCTAAATTTGGATTGCTATCTCTCTCTCTCTCTCTCTCTCTCTCCCTCTTTCTAAAATATATATAATGAAAGAAAACAATCGTTGGCCTAATTCGAAGTAAAGTTTTCACAATATTCTTGAATTTATTTCTAAATTGACTTTTTGTTTCTTTTATAACAAAACTCCGTCGAAACTATTCACACGTAAATTCAAACATAAGTTTATAAATAAGTATTGATAACATCAAAGCAATAAGAAGGACATACCTCTCTCCATTCCGCAGACTCGCCGACAGACTTATTAACAAATTTATAAAATGTACAATTAATACAATTAAATGATTATAGTTTTTTACGGCTACGTTCGCCATCGAAGCGGGCATGAAATTGATTGCTTTGAGTCCAAAGTTTTACTTCCGCGAGGGTTGGAATATATTTGACTTCGTTATAGTTGTGTTGTCTTTATTAGAACTGGGATTAGCGTCCGTCTCAGGCCTATCAGTGCTCCGCTCATTCAGATTAGTGAGTCTTTCAATGATTATTGCAAATGAATGTCGATTGCGATTAACGACAAATGTTTTATTAAATAGTTGCGAGTATTCAAGTTAGCCAAGTCTTGGCCGACACTCAATCTCCTCATTTCCATTATGGGTAAAGCTGTCGGAGATCTCGGAAATCTGACTTTTGTATTAGCGATCATTATATTCATATTTGCTGTGATGGGAATGCAATTGTTTGGTAAAAACTATACGGTCGAGGGGTATGTCCTTCTTATTGCTTTGATGTTATCAATACTTATTTATTTCAATATAAACTTATGTTTGAATTTACGTGTGAATAGTTTCGACGGAGAAGAGATTCCCCGCTGGAATTTTGTCGACTTTATGCACTCTTTTATGATTGTATTCCGTGTTTTATGCGGCGAATGGATTGAGTCGATGTGGGACTGTATGCGTGTGTCGGGTGCCCCGTGTGTGCCCTTCTTTCTGGCCACTGTAGTGATCGGCAATTTAGTTGTACTCAACCTCTTCTTAGCCCTATTGCTGTCCTCGTTTGGTGCGTCCAATCTGTCGGCGCCCACGAGTGACAGCGCAGACACTAAGAAATTACAGGAAGCCTTCGACCGCTTTTCTCGAGGGGGCAAATGGGTTAAGAATCAAGTGCTTCACGCTTTGAAGGTATTATATTTGATTGATTTATTATAATTATAGATCACATGTTAATTATGAAATCGATAATTAGATAATAAGATCGAAAACTCGGAATCAAATCGGAGATCAAACGGCAGACATCAGAGAAGAAATGGACGAAATGACTGGCGGAGAGATAGTGCTGATGGACGGACAAGTGATACGAGACAAAAAGCTGAGTCCAAAAGATCACACGGAACTGGAGGTCGTTGTTGGCGATGGTCTGGAGATTGCAATACAGGCCGGAAAACTAAAGTTTCAAAACAGCGCTCGGAATGTATTAAATTCAGTGAAATTAGGAAATGCTATAAAAGACGCACAAATGGAGAAGATTGTGATCAATGCTGACAATCGAGGCCTGAGAGACGACGACAACCTCAGCAACAATTCCTACAATAGCCTCAAAAAGCCGTCCAGTCGTTCATCACTCGATGAGGACAAGAAAGATAGCGAAGACCTCATGGGCTCTAAGGAAGAGCTGAACAAAAATGGAGAACTCAATGGAATGGCAGAGAATGTGGACGCAGACAAGTTAGAGACGGCCACCGCTGATGTGATCATCAGTGAATACCCGTCCGATTGCTTCCCCGATAACTTGTATCGGTTCTGTCCGTCTTGTCTCGAAGAGACACCCTTTTTGCTCCGGTGGAAAGAAATTAGATTAAGGGCTTATCAATTGGTGGAGCACAAGTACTTCGAAACACTGGTCATTACACTTATCCTGATCAGCAGTATTGCACTGGTATGTCATGTCGTGTTTTCACTTGCATTGTATTTCTCATTCAAACTCAATTATCTCAATGTTTTAGGCGTTAGAAGACGTGAATCTTAAAAAAGATGAAACATTTATGGAATACTTAGGATATATGGATAAGTTCTTTACAGTTATATTTTTATTTGAAATGCTTATCAAATGGTTGGCCTTCGGATTCGCGAAGTACTTCACGAACGCCTGGTGTTGGCTCGACTTCTCTATAGTTATGGTGAGATATAAAGTCCATATTCTTATACACTGTTATAAAATTTAACCATTTGTTAATTAATTATAAGTTATATATTGTATTTATATATAATTATAAGTGTGTCAAAAGTATTAACTATTTAAATACTGAGTGAATGAGTGAACATCGATAGGATATTATCAAACAAAAGATGGTATGAGTGTTGATATAAAGCTTATAGAATAGATAATAGATTTAGCATAGAGTAGACGTGCGTTGAGCACTACAGGGGCACAGAATACGGGTGCGAATGTAATATTAACGGCGATTGAACATTGGCTGCACATTGCATAGGTCTCCATATTTAACTGGGCAGTTGGCTTAGCAGGTTTAGGCAAAATACCTGCTTTCAAAACCATGAGGACATTGCGAGCACTTCGGCCGCTGAGGGCAATGTCCCGTTTGGAAGGCATGAGAGTAAGTGACACCGTCTTCATAGATAAACCAAACAATCACTACTAAATTGAATCTAAACGTAGACTTAAAGCCAAACCAAGTACTCTGTTAATGGACTAGAGTTTGTCCTCTATTTGTAGCTTTGATTGTCTGAATCGTAAGCAATAGTCAATTGTTTAGATTTGCTTAATATGTAATTGCAATGAATAGTAGGTTTAACACTATATATTTGTATGTTATATAATTGGTGTGTTTTGTGTGTATGTAATTGTCATTGTTTAGTGTGTATATTGTGTCCAAGTATTGTCCCGCAATTGCTATGCTTTTCTATCATAGAATAAGTAGTAATTGAGAGATGTATTGCAAACTTGTACTTATGTTTCGGTAAGTATTCGTGAATGGATTGACTGAAAAAACAAATAACAAAATCCAATTCCTATTAAATGTAATGCTCGGAAGGGTATGTATTGGAGTTGTTAATGGTTTTGCAACCTTATTCATTTGGCCAAACAGGTATCGGTGATCAATCTAGTGGCCACGTGGTTCGGTGCCGGCAAAATCCAGGCCTTTAAAACTATGCGAACTCTTCGAGCGCTGAGACCTCTGAGAGCTCTCTCCCGATTCCAAGGAATGCGGGTAAGAGTCATACCAAACACTTTCTCCCAATCAATTGCCCGAACCAGTCGTCCAAACAAACAATACTTGAATTATTTGAATGCATTGTCTTTAAAATGGATGGAAATTTGATTTTAATTTTTAAAATGTATGTCTGGTAAGTGAAAGTGACGGGTAGTTCAGTCCAATCATTTAATCCGACTCTCAATCATTGTAAGTACAGATCGCATGTATTGTCGCTTTTATGTCCAAAAGCACTGTTGTTTTGTTAAAACAAGTGATATGTCTTCGCATTTGAATGCCATTCACCTAATTCTTCATTCTCTAAATTGTCTAAATTCAATATCTTATAAAGTTGTTTAAATATTCCTGTAATCTCACCCCAGACTCAAGTTCTTGTTTTGTAAACTGCGGGAATGCAACACAATTAACAATTAGTTATACATATCTTGTTAAATATATTTAATATTTTTCAATAAAAATAGGTTTAAAAGGTTTTAATTAAAGGTTTTAAATATTAATTCCCGTTTAAGTTTATATAATAAATGAGAGCTTTTGAATGAAGTGAGAGAAAGTATTTAAAAATGATTATTAATTCATTAACTTTTCAAACCAATTAACGAAAGGTTGTGGTGAATGCTCTCATCCAAGCAATTCCGGCCATCTTTAATGTATTACTCGTTTGTCTTATATTTTGGTTAATCTTCTCAATAATGGGAGTCCAACTATTTCTGGGAAAATTTTATCAATGCATTGACAACACGACGAAAATTAAATTTAACTCAACTTATATACCAAATAAGTTGACGTGTCTTAACACGAATGGTACGATTTGGTACAATCCGCAGATGAATTTCGACAATGTCCTCAACGCATATCTTTCACTCTTCCAAATTGTATGCATTTTCAATGTTGTCTTCAATTGGATTCAAATTTACTAATTGTTTGTATCGTGTGATCCATAAAATAGGCCACATTTAAGGGTTGGCTCCCAATTATGGACAATGCGATTGACTCCCAGCAGAAGGAGTTCGATCAGCCAGAAAAAGAAGTCAATCTATACATGTACTTGTATTTTGTGTTCTTCATTATATTTGGTTCATTTTTTACGCTAAATCTGTTCATTGGAGTGATTATTGATAACTTCAATGAGCAAAAGAAGAAGGCCGGAGGATCTCTCGAGATGTTTATGACTGAAGACCAGAAGAAATACTATAACGCCATGAAAAAGATGGGATCCAAGAAACCGGCCAAAGCTATACCCCGTCCCAGAGTATGCACTCATCTCTATCGCCACAATACTATCATAAATGTGTTGGCATTCATTAAATGTATGTTTTGTTTGTACTTTCAGTTCAAACTTCAGGCAATAATCTTCGACGTGACCACAAACAAGAAGTTCGATATGATTATAATGCTGTTCATCGCTCTTAATATGATCGTTATGGCAATGGATCAGTACAGGGAATCCGAAACATACAATCTTATACTCGAACGCCTCAACTTATTCTTCATCGCTGTATTTACGGCCGAATGTATGCTCAAAATATTTGCATTGCGTTGGTATTACTTCAAAGAGCCCTGGAATGTGTTCGACTTCGTGGTCGTCACTCTATCCATCTTAGGTCCAGTCAAACCATTTCCACCACAGTTTCAATTCGTTGCTAAATGCTATCCTTTTTTTTCATTGCAAACTTTAGGAGTTTTACTCAAGGATTTGGTCGCTAAATATCTGGTATCTCCGACTCTATTACGTGTGGTACGAGTGGTAAAAGTGGGCCGAGTATTACGTCTAGTGAAGGGCGCGCGGGGTATCAGAACCCTGTTGTTCGCTCTGGCGATGTCACTGCCGGCCCTCTTCAACATCTGTCTGCTGCTGTTTTTGGTGATCTTCATATACGCCATATTCGGGATGTCGTTCTTCATGAATGTGAAGCCCAGATATGGTGTCGACGAGACGTTCAATTTCGGCACATTCTTCAAGTCGTTTATCCTGTTGTTCCAAATGTCCACTTCCGCGGGTTGGGACGGAGTGTTGGCCGCCATCATGGATGAGACCGACTGCGAGCCATCCAGAACTGACTTCGAGGGCAATTGTGGCAACAGAGGCATTGCCATCGCCTTTTTGGTGTCATATCTAATCATCGGATTCTTGATCATCATAAACATGTATATCGCCGTCATATTAGAGAACTACAGTCAGGCCACTGAAGACGTTCACGAAGGCCTTACCGATGATGACTACGACATGTATTACGAGATTTGGCAGAAGTTTGATCCGAAAGGCACTCAATTCATACCATTCCACGCTTTGCCGGACTTCGTTCACGCACTCGAAGAACCCCTTCAGATACCAAAGCCTAACAAATATAAATTAATTTCAATGGATATTCCCATTTGTGTGGGAGATATGTGTTATTGTGTGGACATTTTGGATGCGTTGACCAAAGACTTCTTCGCGAGAAAGGGTCACGTGATTGAAGAGACGGCAGAGTTGGCAGAAGTGGCGCCTCCGAAGTTGGGAGAGTTTGAACACATTAGCAGCACTTTGTGGCGCCAGAGAGAGGTCTACTGTTCGTCAATCATTCAACAGTGTTGGAGGGATTACATCGACCGGAAGGCCAACTGTAAGTCCGACGACCCGAACGACCCATCGCTGGGACAGTCGACGGCCATAATAGTGGAGAGTGACGGACACGTCACCAAACATGGGCACAAAGTTGTGATTCACTCGCGATCGCCAAGCATTTCAAGCAGTCGTTTCACTGATGTGTGATATATCAGACCATTTCCATACATTTTATTACTATTAAATCATTAACTCAACCATCAATTGATTCAAAGCTGTGTTACCGCAACATTAGCGCAGTTTTTAGCACTTTTCCAATACATGCGATACATATACAGTATATATAAATAGTTATCAATATATTAATGATCGTTGAATATGAACACAAGAGGTGCACAAAACCCGATATACCTCTCATATATTGAGCCGTACGTGCATTTTAAGCACGCATTCAATGAATTAAATCTTATAAAGAAATCTTACAAATGAAACAATTTTTTGCATTGATTTCATAAAACAATTCGTTTTTGAACTAAAGTTTTCTTATTTATATCAAGAACTGAAAAAATGATATCTAACTATAAATTGAATTGAGTTTATATAATGATAATAATTATAAAACAATTATAGTAACGAATATTTAACAAATTTAATAATTGAATTATAGCTTACATTATATGCCGTAAGTCTCAGTCATTTATTTTTATATTAATATTGAATTTAGTTTCTCTTCAATAACTATAATTTGCATCGAATTTCACATTCATTAACACATTAATCAAATGTATTATACAATTAATAATAATGATAATAATAATCAGTTTCTACCATAAACTACCACTTCTGATAAAAACGTTTTCACTCTAATCATCAAATCTGATAATACTTTTTGCTTTTGGTTCACAACTTTTCAACACAACTACTATTTAGTAGACTTTTTTCCGTTAAAAACAATCAAAAAGTAATTTAGATTTTACTCAATATATTGAAAGAATAATAGATTAAGCATTCGTTTATAAATACTATCAGTTATTTGAATAATATATAAATATATATAACGACATTCCCGGTGCTCTACAACTGAGAAATTGAAAAAATGTTTGATTTTTGACAATTTGTTAATAACGAGAAACTATTATAATTCCTGTTTTGAAAATTTATTTATTAAGACTTAATATAAGATAACTTTATTATTATTATTATTAAAAAAGAGATAAACGGAACCGACGTTTGGACTGGAATTTCAATAAATTCGAGTTTTGAGTCCAAATATTGGGTCAAAAACTGTGCCTTTTTATAACAAATTATAACAAAACTATTAATTAAATTAGAAAATAATGTTTTTTCATTATTTCATAATTTGGTGCAAACTTATGCATTACAAACGCTCACAATTATATTATTAATTAAAAACGTTTTAATTATTTTATTGTTATTACAATTATAGTATACTATTATTATTAAGTTATTATTGAGATTTAACAACAAACTAGAAAATAAATTTTAAAATTAGTTAAATTGAAAACAAAATGTTTAAAAAACCAATTTTTGTTCACAATTATAGCAACAAAAACAGAGAAATTAGAAATAAATTAAAAAACAAATCTTAAAAACTACACAACATTTTGATTTAAACAAAAGAAAAATTAATAAAATACTAAACAAACGAATAACAAGTGATTAACAAAAATGTAAAAACGAGACCAAAGTTTTATTGATTGAATGGTCTCTTCGAACAAACATTAATGGCTTATAACTTAAGACATAATACAATACAATATAATTAATATTATAATTATGTACTGTATATCTCACTATGCATTTCAAACTTTTCATTCAATTAGTTATTCAAACCAACAAAACAACCAAATATTGTATTCATTTCTAAACTAATTATTAATAAAACAAAACCTAATTTTGTGAGCTTTCACTCAATAAGACATTCATTTTGACAATCAGTTTATTCTTATCAGTTGTCCGCACATCACGTGTGCGGAGGTTTTGGCCCACATTTGCGACCAAACATAGCATTTAATGTCAACTCAATTGCCAATCAATTCAATGCAAAACATTTTTATTATTTAAAATACATTTAATGACTAAAAATACAATAAAATCTCATTGAAAGAGACGGTGAAAGACATCAGAAGTCAGTGACCCTTCCCTTACGCTCCCAATCGCCATATCGTGTCGGCTCCGGACCCGTCGGACCCCCACTTTCACCCGTTTTGGGATTACATCTGTCAGGGAAGGGGGCGAAGGGGTCGGCGCCCACCCACTGCTGGTCAGTGTCTGTTTCATCGGTGACTATGGGTTTGCCGGGAGTGGGAGTCCTATCCATTCGCCCCAAAGGGCTGTTTGGATCCGATTTCAGTTTTTCCTCCATTTGTGACAACTTTAGCGAAACATTGGATTTTCGGTCACTTTTCGGTGCCTTTTGGCCGTCACTTAACGGACGACACAATCGGACACTCAATGACTGAAAGACAATCCTTTTCAACACTAAACTCATTGCAAACACATTTGTAAACACTTTATAACTACATATGTATTGACCAATAGATGGCATTCTGTGCTCTCTTTCATCGATTCTGTGATATTCTGTACTAAACGTTGTATTCTTGCCATCGCTTCTCAATTATACTCACATCTAATGCGATAATTATTGTTTGTATCACAAAAATATTATTATCGTTATTCTCATTGTATACTAATTTATAGCGTATATGTGATTATATGTGGATTACTATTATATTATTATAATTTTTACAACACAAACATATTCTTAACATACTTTTGAACTACAAATTAATATTTATAATTTATAAATATTTTAAAACTTGATTATAACTTAGCAACAAAGTTGGGGATTATGTGAGCAATCATCTCAGTCAACACATACAGTATTCTTGTGTTACAATCTTATTGTTTGAGTCATTTTATTTTCAATCACGTAATCAGGAGTCGAGGATATGAAGGCGATATACAATCTATAATATTTAATAAAAGCTCATATTTTTATTTATATATGTTTTGCACTTTAAAAATCTTTTGGATTTATCAAAAACCACTCATTTTTCACATTTATTTCTCATATTCTTTAGTGTATTTTCAATTGAAACGTAAGATTTTAAATAGGATTTATACAAACGTTTACTATTTTATTTACAGAATATTCTCTACGATTCTATAAAAGCTCTTCGAGCTAATAATACTGTAAGTACCCTTTTGTTGGAAATACATGTATAATATAATCTAAATGTGATCTTTCCTGGAATTTTACATAAACTAACCCAATATTTTAAATCCTCAATTTTTTAAATATATTTTTTATATAAAAACTTTTACTTTGTTAGAAAAAAAATTTAATCAGTCATTATTAATGAGTTAATTAGAAGTGAATATATTTACGAATGAAATAATATTTACGTTTTTCTTCCCATTAAAGCCGTCAAAACCATATGTTTTCAACAGAAATATTGTGAAAACTAATTAAATGTGGGTTTCAATGCATTATCTTTTATTAATTAATCTTTATTGAAATCTAAACTATTTTACAATGAATTTTTGTTTGCAATTATCATATTATGATTAGAGCCTCTATTTTTCGGGAATAAAGACACTCAAATTCGGGCGGGAATTGGGAGTATAAAATGGTTACATTCTGGAATAAAATCGGGAGCAAAGCTTATAAAATGAAGCATGTAAATGAAGTTATCGGGGATTTTTGACACTTAAAAATGAGTTATAAATTGTATAAAAGTGAATTGCATGGTATTGATCAGTAATTAAGCGGTAAATTAATTCTGATTTTTTATGAACTTTGTTAATTTACAATTGTTGAAATATATGCGATGATGAAATCACAACATAATTTAAATTTTGATATCATAAATGTGTTACCGCGTGTCATAATTAAAATAACTTCATTTTAAAAAGCCAACATTTATTTCATCTTATATCTAAATGCGTAACTTCTTTATTATTTTTAATAAAAACGGAGTTTTTCAGACAAATCCGGTATAAAATTTGCTTTTCGGAAGCTTTTGCAAAATATGACAAAATCGGGAAAATTTGGGAAAACAAAAAATGATATATTTTGGAGTTTTTATAAATCTCAAGACTAATGGCATATTATTCCGTATGATTCAAGTAACTAAATTTAGTCGGAATTCCCGAAAAATAGAGGCTGTAATTATGATATATTCATAAACCCAAATACATGTTCTTATTTCATTTAATGTTAATCGTATTATGCGGTATATTAAATAAATATTAAGATTGAAATGCATGAGTGGTATGAAATATGATAAATATATTTGCTTACTAATCATGAGTAGAAGATTTTACTTAAGAATTAAATGTTTTATTAAATGGTTATTGACGTCAGATTGAATAAAATAAATTAAAATGTTATCAAAATGTACAAATATGAAACAATTTTAAAATAATTATAATTTACAACAATATTGTGTAATTGTTTTAAATATGATTGTCATTATTTATATATTAATACTGTATTTATAATAGAATAATACACCAAACAACACTTTTTAACAAGTGTTAACAATTGTTTTTAACAAATATAATGGTTTGTAACATCAAAACCAATAATTGGTCAAATATAAACAATTGTTGTTTAATTAACATTGAATAAGTGATAAGTATAGACATAAAAATGTTGGCTATGTTCCCGAAGTCAATACTGTATGTCGATTCAATAATAGATCATTCGTGTTTCAGATCACCCGTTGTATAACTAATCGTGGCAAAAATTGTGGTTTACATGTTGCACCTAATGTATTCATAACATCATCATGATAACATTTGAAATTTCTATTCTTATGGATTCATTTATTAATATGAGTAGTTTAATGTATAATTGTTTGAACTCTCTCTCTCTCTCTCTCTCTCTCTTCAAAGCGTGGCTATGAGTTATACTGAAGCATTACAGTTAAGCATTGCCTCCTTTGATAGTATTGCAGTGAAGCATGAGTGCTATGAAAGCATTCAAAGATGTGTTTCTTGCACAGAGAAATTCATATATTACATAATAAAATCATTAATTATTTATAATTCTTAATGTACCGATTTAAATAGTATTTACAGTATATAAAGATTATTTTGCTATAACTTTTATATAACTAGTATGTTATGACATAAAAGTTATACAAAAAATTAATGTTTTTTAATCAGTATAAATAAATTATGACGAACTACAAGAATGCACCATTATGGATTAGCAGTACTTTGTGTTACAAGCATTAAATCATATGAAATCACAATTTCATGTAAATAACATAATTGTAGACAAAATCTTGATATTTGTTGTGAAGTTATTTGAGGATTAGATGACGTGATAGACATCCCAACAGCCCTTTTAAACCCATATATAATTAGATATTTATTCCGTTGCTTTAAAAAACAATAAAATGATTAAAGTTTTATACGACAAAAGTGGACTTCAAATGACATTATTATAAATATAGCCATTTAATAAATGTATTTATTATGGTAAATATTCTCTACGTTAACCTATCCATTGACTTATGCTCTGACGAAACAGTTTTTACAAATTAAAGAATATATATATATATATAAGACTTTTTATTGATTTAGTTGAGTAGACAACACATCAAATTAATGCTATTAATAGTGTGAATAGTGTGCCCACATGTACTAAATGTCAGTCATTCAAACAGTTATTTAATTAAATTCAGAGATGCACTCGAGTTAAAAATAATGATATTTAACATAATTAATATTATGGATACGTTTATTAATATTCAAATCTACAGACCATTGCATTCTTTAATACTATATTATAATCTAATAAATTATATGAATGTCTGGAAAAGAGACGAATGCGTCCAACCGTTCACTCGTTAGAAAACAAATATTTATTTCAAAATATAAGGGTATATAAAGTGTGATTTAATTCGTATTTCCACAACAATTATTGCTGACAAAACACAAGAGTTGTGAACCAGAATCAAAGCAAACGTATCACTCGTATCAACGCTTTATTAATCGATTATTATTTATGACTACTGATTCTCTAACTCTCGAAAGTACTTTCTCAGAGTACTTTCTCAAGCATTATAATAGCATTATGTCACATAAATTACGTTGCTCATAAAACTAAAGTTAGAGGATCTATATTTATGACGATCAGTTTAATACCGTTATTAAACTTCAATATATCAAATCATATAATATATTATATGACCAGTAATGTACAGAAATGGCTTTGTAAATCTTTGACCCTCTCTGTATACACAAACACAATTTATTTTACAATGTAATGTATAGCTAGAAGTCTAATTTAAGGTTTGCGTTGTAAAATAATTGGTGTTTGACAGGAAAACATCAAAGTACAATTTACAAAGGCATTCATATGTACACACTGTACAACAGTTACAAGAATTTACCCATTTTCACACTATGTTGTACAATTGAGATTATAATTCATTGTTTGCTTAAATTATAATATTTTCAATTTTTACATAAAATGTCATGTAATGTACATAATGTACACCTTCATTGCTCATTTATTAATAATAAAATTCTTTTAAATGAAATTGTTTTTAAAACTGTATAAAATTACATAACAATATCAAAACTGAAGCTAATCTGCAAGTAATGAACTATAATATTAGCCAAATATCTAACAATTTTTTGGTATTTACAGGTGATTATTGTCTTAGCTTATAGTTAAAAATAATGATTTAAATTGAAATTTGTTTGTGATAAACACCTTAATTATTTACTTTTTAAAGTTTGTTTAAAAAAGTTCGTTTATTGTTATAAAATAAAAATACAATTATTACGAAGTCTAATGATATATTTCATATGACCTCGGGTTTGGTCAAAATGATCATTTTAATCAGTGGATATGTCTAACATTTGTTATTTTTGGACGTTTTTATAGTTACACTTATATTTTTGTCGTTCTAATGATAGACTGATGCAAAACTAAAGATGAATTTTGACATTATTCTTATAAAATAGATGGAAATTTAAGAAAATATAATTTTTATAAACAAATAATTTTACAATAAATAACATAATTGACTAAATCTCGAGTAAATCAATGTTAATACTCTTTTCATGTTATATTTATAATTTGCCATTTCAAATAAATGATAATTTGATGATAATTATTATTATAAATGTGCAATTTAATAACAGATTTAAATACAGATACAATTTCTGTACAATAATTGTGAATTGTTAAAGTAATTTCTGTTTAGTAAAATCAGAAAATTAATTAACTTTTATATACCAAACTAAATCACTTCAATTTTTTGTTTCTAAATATTAATTTTAAAAACATTTAATATTTTTTTTGCAAACCATAAAAAATTGAACAAAAATACAAAACCT